TACAATAAATATAGTCAGTTAAGTGTCATACGTGATACACACTTGTGCGATCATGGCTCTTTCGATTTATGGCTGACTAGGCAAAATATGTTCTTGTCAACCAAGACTACAGGACCCAATCTATTCTGCTATTCAACCCATAGCTGGGAGTAGAGATGGATTCATACCAAAGGTTTTTGCGTGTAAGTGAATGCAACTCGGTTGTAATTCTAACTCGGTTCTCCAATTTATAATTCTGAGTCGTTATCTATTACATCACAACGCTAGAAGGATGATAAGCGACTTAAACAAACTGATTACCATATATAGTCGAGTATCATGCGAGTTTTTATAATCAGTCTTTTAAGGCAAATATAGTGGGTGGGGTCGCACTATATTTTTTTTATGAGGTTACATTTTCGGTGACCGGTTGCACTATACACAGGTAATTTTTTTTACTGCACGATACACTATACATGAAGTCGGCTCATATACCAATATATACCGTATATTAATTTACAGCAAAACTTATAAGGCAAACGTTTTAAAAATATCTAAAGAAATGCATAACTGAATAAATTATGATATTTAAAAATATCATAATTTATTCCGTTATGCGTTTTGCGACGCTGTGATCACCACAGACGCTGATTTCGGAGTGAACGGACATGTTTTTCATTGATCAATGAACGGACGTGTTTTTTTATTGATTTTAAAAGGAAAGTCTTTATTATTTTAATTATCCATTTATTCTTACATTTTTCTTTGTTTATTATAATTTTTCTTATATTATTATGCATTTATAATCTTTAATTATTAAAATACATATTTTTAAAGATAAATCGAGGTATGCATAAGTTGTTTTATATAAAAAAGTTTTTTAGCAAGTTTACTTTATTAAGAAAGTCTTTTTAGGAATTATTAAAAAAAATTAATTTTAATACATTATATTTGTTAAATTACTTAATACGTTGGCATGAATAATTCTACTCTCTCTATTAAATTTATATTTAATTTAAGCATTTCTTTTTTTATGAAAGAAGACATAATTTTCGAAATAGGAAAAGCATTTCGAGTCGTAATGTTTTTCTTTATCTTTGACTATGTGTATTGTCGATTTTTTCCCCCCATCATTTACCATTGATTGAATCATTTTTAACGACAATTGCCGATAATTTTATCCGTTCAGTTCTTTTCTTATTTATTCATTGTAATTTTTAACGTAACATTTTTTTATAGACAACAACGTATTTTCAAATTTGTAGGAAAATCGTTTTGAGTCGTAACGTTATTTTGTTTACTTTTTTTTACTATTTATTCAGTATAGTCAAGAAGTTCTTCCTTTATGATAGGTACCTCCAATAATTCGCTAAAAATCAGTATAGCATAATGATTAAGGCCCCAAACTTAAAAACAAAGTTTTATCGTCAAAATGTTTATGTTATTATTAAGAGGAAAGAACAAAGTATTTTTTAATTAATTTAAAAATTTTTTTTCCTTCTTTCTACGTTCTAAATTAGGATCAAAAATATCTTTTTTTGGGGGGGTCAACTTTGTACTACTAGTGGTAATGGACATTTTAGTGTACCAGTTTCCGGGGAGTTTGTAAATTCTTGCAAAAATCAAATAATTGTCTGATTTTAAAGTTTCAGTACTTATTCAAAAATGAATTTATTTTTGTTTTTAGAAAATCTTGGTAAAAATATTGTTTTATATTACGTATAAGAAGGACTCCTTGGAGAATGTAAGTCACCGATTTTTTTTTTCACAACTATTGCAACTTTTTAAAATCTGCTCAAATCGTAAAATAAAAACGGCAATAAAACTATCTAATTATCTAATTAGAAAGGCTTTTTAATTACTTTTATTATAAGTAATATACATTAAGGACATTATTATCTGAAGAAAAACTTGACATATAAAGGTCTTCGGCTTATCTTACTCTAAGTTATTAAATTAAAAATTAAATTGAGATAAAATTATCTCATCAATTTAAACAATTAATAACTGAGTGAGATAATTTAATTATTAATATAATAATACTTTTATTAATTATTATCTTAGTTATTAAATTAAAAATGTAATAACTTAATATTAATAATTAATAAAATTATTTATCATTATCTTAGCTATTAAATAATAAAATACCATTATAGAGGTAACTCAATAACGTAAGAAATTTATTTAGTATTTTAAATTATTATAAGAAACAAAAAAAAACGTTCTTACTTAGAATTCATAAAATTATGTCAATTCTGGTGCACCATACTAAACCGGTCAACACATTCAGCCATCAAATTAAAGATGGAGACGTGAAAATAACAACACACAGAGATCAAAAAATGTTTGTCTAGAAAATTTAATGCAATAAGTGATATTTGTTTCAGAACAAATTAATTTAACTTTAAATTTGCTAATTTTACGAAAATTAACGTTTCAGAAATATATATTTTATTTTAGCGGGATTTTCAAAACGATAAAAATAAGTTTGGTTTACATTTCTCAAAAAGTGAAAATTGGCTGTTTCGATTGGTTTTTCGGAAGAATCGAATAAAAATCATTCACGTTTCTATTTGAAATACTCTACGGTATTTTTTTTTCTGGAATTAGAAAATTTAACCCTATAGCTTTCAATTGGAGCTGGGGGAAAGCTTCAGAAAGTATTTTTACTTTATGAAAAATACATTTAAACCTTAGCCATACCGAATTTTTTGAGGTACCTACTTTATTATTTATCTTTTAAATATTTTTTAACAACAACAATAATAAAAAAAATGTTCTCATATATTTGATGATAATTTTATACTTTTATTGTTTTCCTATTTATTGTTTAGTTTCTGTTATTGTCATTGTAAAGTAGTCTAGTAGTAGTCGGCACCCGCTCGCATCTGATGATCGGGATCGTCATCCACTCTCCTTATTCACTTTCTTCCCTCTGGTAGCGATGGCGGAGATGGCTGTGAGGGCCCAGCCTACTCCTGAAGAGTAGTCACACGTGAATTTGAATTTGTTGGACAACTGCGTGACGGAGAAGCGCCTCCCTCGTGGCTCAATGGGATTGAGACAGGCGAGATCTGGCACATCTGCTTGCATCAGGCTATCGGATGCTTGGTCTGTCAAGGTCTGCCTTGGTTACGCCAGCCCGACTGGCGCTGACAATCTTCCGTAACATTTGATGACGAACTGTTTACTCACTCCGACATCCAGTGTAAAATATATGTTCTTTATGCGTGTATGTTTCTATGTACGTACCTCTGATGGTCGTTCCTTGTCATGATGGAGGATCTTGCATGTTCCAAGGACTCTGAGAGCGATGCCGTCTGGAGTTCTCAACCCCTAGTAGGGCCACTTTTGACGGCAAGGTCGAAGACGAGGACCCAGACTAAGCGCGACCAACCCCAAAGACCACAACGGTGGAACAAGCGGATGATGATTGCAACAGGTCTCAACGTTTGAACCAGCAGATGAAGAGGGCTACGCAAGATGGACATGCTATAGAATGGACCACAACCAGTGGCAGTCCGTTGTAGTTTCATAACTGGATTCTGCATGACTCATTTCATTTGTGTCGCAGAGGAAGGTCATGAAATCAAGTGTGTGGGTCACTTGCTGGAAAGTTGTGGTCCATCTTAAACAAATTCACGCTCACTGGACTTTCTTTTACTCTGATTTTATTTCACCTTCACTCCAACTTTTGCAACGATATGGAATCAAGTTTTGGTGAAAACTGGGAGCTTCTAGTCCTGAACCTGCACGCTCCTTCTAGTTGTAGTAATAGTTATAGGATTGAAGAGGTTCGAATTGATGAAATGGTAAAGGAAATTTTCGGAACTGTATGTTCTGTAAGAGTACTCTTCAGCGGAAATGTACACGCAGTTACACAGCCTACTGAGTCAGTCTACCAATAGGCCCCGTGCTATCTAGAGGTCTTCAATCTATTGCACTAGTTTTTTTTTAAAGTGGTGCTGGAATAACTTCTCGACCTTGACGATGGCTGACAAATTTGAGCAAAGAACCACATTGAAAGTATTGCACAATATATTGTGCAATATAGAGGTCAGGCCAGATGCAAATTTGAATTTGTTAACTTAAGTTGACTATTACAAAATCTATTCTATGCTCTTTGCTAAGGTAATTCAGTTATGTGCCATGCGTGATACACGTTTAGGCGATCATGTATCTTTCAATACATGACAGATGAGGCATATTTTTTCCCGCATTAGGTTGCCATTTCTTTTCTGCGGTAGACCAGTTGCCATCCAAGGCTATAGAACCTGGTCTGTCCTGCTTTTTACCCATAGCTGGGGGAGAAGAAAAGGATTCATACATTTCCCAAGGGTATTAGCTATGGTAACTAGCATTTCATTTTATGTCGCAAATGCCTGCTCAAGCATGTCTGTGTTTGTTCAACACCCACAAAGTCCACTTGTGGTTTATGTTGCAACGCCATTGAGCAGACCTTCCATTTTCTGGGAAAGAGAGAGAGAGCAAAAGAACAATTTGAAGAAACCCTCGGTTATGGTTACTTGTGACAAACAATTCTTTCTATCCTATTTTTTTTTTATTAACGTTCAAATTTCAGAATTAGTTGTTTTATGTAATCGTTAAATTACCAAAGTTCAAATTTATTTTTATTTTTGTGCAAAGTTCGGAAAATCTGCGATCGAGATCCTCGAAATGCTTTGTTAGGCTTTTAGCAAATATTCTTGAGGTCAAACACGGGTGGCATAATGATTGTAATAAACTAGGGAGACTGCGAGGGGATCCTAGTCCGGAAACTTTTCGATATTATCATGTGTAGCCATTTTTCTCGTCGTTGAATAGTTGAATCGCAAAAATGTCGCAAACAGTAATTTAAGCATCTTACAGAAGAAACCGATATATAGTCTTTCATTCCATTTTGCTGGGTACCTTTTTGTACTTTTAAAATATCTCAAACGGTATAAACAAGAAAAAAAACCCAAAAAACGAAAGAAAGATGATAATTATTTCCTTTTGTGTTCTTGCTTTGCAGACTTGAAATGCAACGCCCGCACTTTTTCCGGCGCAGGCTACGCGTCTCCAAACTGACAACAACTCTCATTTTCTGCGTTCTGTTCTTAATATTTTTGCTACTCTGGTCTGAGTCTGAAAATGGCCGGAGCAACAAACACAGCGTGACTGAATTGCGATCATTTGCTGACCAAATGAACTCGGCACGTCTGAACAATGCTTTTCAATACTTCCGATCCTTAAACGCGAGTCGCTCACAGAGATTTTACGAGGAAAATCTCGCAAAGTATGATCTGGACCTGGTTATCAGCATTCCCACAGTGCGTCGACCCACCCGACCGGGTCTCGTCGAAATGGGTTATTTGATCCAAACGGCAGCGATGTTCGATCGACTTCTAAAAACGGATGAGAAGTTTGGAGGGAAAATGATGTTTATTTGTAATACGGACAACATGCCGAAGGAACATTCAGAGGCGACACTCTTGCAGGATTATCTACCTTCCATACAGCTTTATGGCAATTCAACCTCGAAAGCTGTTCCTCTTGTGTCAAACATCTTCCATTATCACAAGAATTATGGAAATAAGTACAGTAAAGAGACATTCGATTACATGTTTTGTTTGCAAACAGCGCTACTTTATAAATCCAAATATATTTTGATGGCTGAAGACGATGCACTTCCCAGAAAAGAACTTTTGCCAGTATTATACCAACTTTTATGGCGACAGCATGAGCTTGTATCAACCGGCAAAGCAATAAAAAGAAAACCTTTCTTTCTCATAAAGCTATACTACCCGGAACGGTGGTTGGGTTACGCATACGAATTCCCTCGAATAATTGAACTTTTAGGGATCGGTGCTTTTGGTTGGGGTCTCTTTGCCCTTCTTTTTTCGTTTTTATGGAAGAGGACATACTGTGAGACGCTAACTGTTGCGACCCTCGGCGGGGCATGCATTGTGCTTCTAGCTCTGCTTATGGGTCGGCAAAAAGTCATGGAACTTCGCCGTCTTTCCAGCCACTTGTATTTCGTCCGACCCGCTCCAGACTGCTGTACGCCAGCGGTTCTCTACCGAGCGGAAAACGTTAGCAAGTTTCTTCGTTATTTGTCGCAAGGTACATATGATTCGACTAGACCTCTCGATATCGCAATGGCCGAATACTTTCGTGCTGTGAGTGAAAGTTCACTTTATGTGGAACCCAATCTTTTTCGACATATTGGGATGTATAGTTCTTTGGGCAAGAGCCCCAAATCACCAGAATACTTTTTGTTTCAATGACACTGTATCTTCACACCAACATTTAAAATCTCAATTTTTCTCAAAATGTGCAGACGGTGATTATGAACTTCACCGATCCGTCAATGGAAGTAAACGTACCGACCAGCGATTTCTTTACTTCCACCAGATACGTGGGTGATAACTTACTGAATTGAAAACCGGTGAATAGAAGGTTAGTGAACCTCATTGTCAAAGGGAGAAAACCCAGAACATAACTTACTTGATGATGTAACCATTCTTGTTCAAAAGGTAACGGTTGTTTACAGTTCTCCACAACTTCCCCTGAAGAGATAAATTATATTTAAAAAAAAAAGAAGAAAACAAACAATCGTCTATTTGCGCGACCTTTGAGTAAAGACAGAAGTGTCAATTGTCGGGATATGAACACATTTCGAAGAAGAATGGTTTCAATTCCATTAACGTAAAATAATATCATCAACTAGTGGAGACGATTGGATGCCCAAAGTGTACACAGCCTTTGTTTTCTTTGTTTCTTCTCCTATCAATATATCTCTTTATTCATAACGACCTTTGGGTGTCATCTTAGCGAGATGGTTAACAACGTTGTCTCGTAAATCCAGTCACAAGTATATAGAGTTCATATCGTCAACGACTATGCTCTTCATTTCGCAACTTATGACAATATTTTTATACGAATAAACACATACAGACATGTAAACACATGCACGCACACACAATATATATATATATATATATATATATATTGGGTGCATTTGAGCAGTAATTTTTCATCTGTAAAAGTTTGATTATGTAACATTAAGTTTGGTTATGTAACATTATGTATAATTTAAGTTTAATGATTAAGGTCAGAGAAGAAAAAAAAAAAAGAAAGTATTTTGTAACTAGTTAGAAAAAAATCTCTTGGCTAGCAAACGGCCCACACGTGTTGTTGAAAATTGATCGAGTTTCTGAAATTTGATCTATAAATATCTTATATCTTGGAGTTCAGTAAATTCACCAACATGTGAAAAAGTAGAAAAATAAACAAATAAATAGTAGAAAGTTGAAAAAAAAAATTATCCTGGGATATCAGAAGGAAACAGGTTTGAGTGATCTGATAAGGTCAGCGGATAGTCGCACTAATTGCGATGAGAGTGTAAGTTCCGATTCGGGGATTGGCATCGGTCATCACAAAAAAAAGAAAGATAAAAAAAAAAAATTAAGAAAACGGTTTCGTTTATCAAAGTAGATGAGAAGGTTGATAAACCGTAAAAATAAATCAATCAAAGTAGATGAAGCAGTATTGAGTGGCTTTTCATTTGACCCCGAATTGTGGAACATAACGAATTATCAATTAGGAAGAAGCGAGGGATTTCCTGATAAAAGGAGTCTCTCCCTCAGATATTTCATTTAGAATTTTTGCATCTAAAGTGAACAAGCAGGACTAAAACTGTTGGAAATTAAAAGGCTCTCTTTCTCATTCACTTCCTAATTTCCCTATTAATGAAAATAAAAGAAGTTAATTCAGATTATATGTGTCGTGCTGCTTAACATGAGAAGGGAACTATTTCTTGATGAAAAGGACAACTAGTTCTAGATTTCCAGAGACAGGCCAAGTAGAGTATATTAGTCCTAAGAAAGCCGTGGAAACGAACGTGATGACGCAACTGACTTGGTCCACGTCCGCACAATGACAACAGTCGCCAAAAACACTTTCGAACTACTACGCCGATCACGAGTCGTAGAAAGAAGGTGATGATAGAACCACAGACATACAGCCAAATACTCAACTGCAATATATTACGTCAGAGTTAAAGACTAATGAAGCTAGTTTGTTAAGGATTTTTTTTTCCTAAATTTCCGACTATTTTCTTGCTTTCCTGTGAAAATTTGGATATATATTGCTCAAAGTCTGAGTAATTTTGGTCTTTATAGCTCAGTCCACCTATACGTCAGTGAATGCTGAACAATCTCCTCACAGGTGAAGAAAAGAATTGAAGTAACAGAAATATGGTTTAACAAAAGAATGCTGAGAATTCCATAGACCGAAAATGTGAGCAACGACGAAGTTTAGAGAAGATGGAAACAAAAAGGACACTTATACTTTACATCAGGAAAAGTTGAAAGATTTAGAGCCCATAATGAGGAAAGAGGATTTAGAAAATTTGATATTCACAGATTGAAGACAAGAGCAAAGCAACACATAACCTACTTAGTGAATGGATGGCGAAGCAAGGTTTTAGAGAGATAAAAAGACAAAATTTATTAAGAGCTACAAATGGCAGGAAAATTTGAAAAGCCTTGACTGCCAACGACTTGAAGAGATACATCATATAAAAGTTGGATGATAATACGAAAGAGTGGGAAATATATAAAACAATTGGGATAATTTTTACCTTGATATATGAGAATACATGTGAACCAGAGATGTCAGGTTTACGGCCACATCAAGTTGAAACAGTGGACGGACAGTTGCGTACTTGATATTTGCACCTCGGACAATTGCGTCCTAGACAAATGCGTCCCTGGATAATTCGTACCTCTGATATTTTTTTTAAATTACCATACTTTCTTTTCTTAAGAATTGCTAATTGTAAACTAAATTTTAATTATTCTAAAGAAGCAAAAAGGTAGTTAGCATAAATTTTGAAAGAAAAAAAAAATTTTTTTAAGAGTTGCTTAATATAGAAATTTGACACCAATACCATTAATTACTCTAAACAAGCAGAAAGGTAGTTACCATAAAGAAAGAAAGAAAGAGAGAAAAAATTCTTTTTTAAGCAAGAAAAAAATAAGCTAGTAATTTCATTCCACTCTTGCAGTGCGTACCAAAAACATCTAATAGATTCTGGATTTTATAGATTATATTTTTATAATGGTTAAGTTCTGAAAATCAAACACTGGTGGAAAAATATTTGTGGACGATGAAAATTACAGCTACCACTATCATAAGAAAAACGCCGATGAAACAAAAAACATACTGGCGATGTGTAGAGCGATCTTGCAACATAATCTTCCATTCCATTTTAGACAAAAATAAACTTAATTTTTAAAAATTTTATTCCTTTTTTTTTTTAAAATTATGATTACTAAGTATGTTTTTTTTTTCAAAATTTATGGTAATTGCCTTTAAAAACTTCAAAAAATTATCAGAGGTATGCAATTAACTAGGGACGTATTTGCCTAGGGACGTATTTGTCTAGGGATGGAAATGGCCAGAGACACAATTGTCTGGTACGCAATTGTCCGGGACACAAATGTCCAGTACGCAACTCTCCTAGAACCCGTTTAAACATTGGTTCTCGTACGATCACCGCAGTTAAGCAACGTCGAGCTTGGTAAGTACCTAAATGGGTGACCGCTTAGGAATACCAGGTGCTGTAAGCTTGGTTGTGCGGATGGAGTAAGGGAGTAAGGCGGATTCGTTATATTCACTTACACGCAAATGCCTTTGAGAAAGGTATAGCGATTTTCTAAGAAGGCGCAAGGCCAAAAGTATGGGACACGGTCGTAATCGTTCTAGTGAGACCAGATTGCTAACCATCACACCACGTTGAGAAGCCCCTTTTGGGAAAGATATGAATCCACTTCTTCTCCCAGCTATGGGCTAATTAGTAGGAATTGTATCAGTAAATCATTATTATATAAAAAATCTTACAAATCTAAAAAATATTATATGCCTTTAAATAACCTGCAAAATGTTGATAGTCCCTAAAAAATCATCAAAGCAGAGTTGTCTTATTGAATACATTCATACGGAAAACTGCACTCACTGACACTGGTCGACGCTATGTTTAAGAAGACCAACCAACCAGTGTTCACAGTTAAGTAGTAGCCAATATGTCTCGGCAGTGACAACTTTGATGCGTGTGACAAGCCATGTTTCGGGTGGGCTTGCACAACTGTCAAATCACAAGATCATCATGCGAATCTCGAAAATGCATAGACATTTGGTACTCACAATTCAGGAAAATAGTGCTTTGTAGCTGAAAACTTGCTCTATCCATCGGTGTTATTGTGCTCCCGGTATCTGTTGTAGATTTCATGAAAATAAGTAGGAGGCATTACTTTCGAAGCTTTATATATGCGCGGTACTTAAAAGTGCTCAATATCTGCGATTGAGCTAACATATTCAGTTGTATGGATATTAGTTTGTAACTCTGAGTTTCACGCTTTTGCGATGTGAAATCCAGGGTTTCGAACTAAATTCTATACAAGTGAATATATATATATATATAATGTGTGGGTGAGTGGGTGTATTTAGGCAGCAAATTCTCTTTTAGGCATGTCTGATTGAATAAGTTACAAACATTATGTCTGCTTATTTTCATCACAATCCTTTCATATTCACGAATATTTTCCATATATTACAATCAAATGAGGCAAGAAATGCACTGTAACAGTGAAAATAACTTTTATTTCCCACTTTTTATTTCTGAGATCATCATCAAGGGGGCAGCTGGTAATGCAAAAACCATGTGTAGCTATCCATTACTGATTTTTTCCTTTGCGTTTAAATGCAACGGCTAAATTCTTTAGCATTCATTACAACGTGAAAAGTTATCCATTATGGAAGTTTTTCTTTTATGTTGGAATATCATGGTCGAGCGCGCAATAAATCATGAAAACTGTTCTTTTTATAGGCATTTTAAAACATTATTACAGTATTCGTAGCTGATTCTATGTAGTGTCGGTTTCAAATTTTTTTAAAATGTAGGTTGCTTCGAGGATCTGTAGTTTTAATTTGTTATTTTCTTGGTGTAAAATAGTTGTGTTATCAATCTTTTTTTCTATACTGTGATGCGGACAGGAATGTTAGTGTAAATGTTTTACAATGAACGAATGATCACTCATGTGTAGAGTAAGACGTCTTGATAATGTAGTTGCCGTATAACCAACATATATATTTGTTTTTCTATCGGAGATACATTCTCCCAAAGGACATTTGAATTGATGTATAATGTTGGTTTTACGTAATACATTCCAACATAAAAGAAAAAAATTCCATAATGGATAACTTTTCACGTTCTAATGAACGTTAAAGCAGACATAATGTTTGTAATTTATTCAATCAGATATATATATAAGTAATAAATTTAATGAAATTTAAGTAATGTAATTTAATAATTGTGTATTTAGGCAGCAATTCTTCTTTTATATAAGATTCGCTAAAGACGACTGATAAGATACAACAAGGAAAGTGACACTACAACATTCAGAAAAAAAAAAACCTGTTTTAAATAAATAAATAAAAAAACGTAACCGCAGTACCTTATTAGTCGTTTTTACCGAAACTTGTATAAAAGAGGGATTGCTGCCCACAACACAATTATTAAATTACATGACCCGGCAGCCAACAAGGAAACTAACACTACAACATTCAGAAAAAAAAACTTATTTTAAATAAAAAGATTAAACCGCAGTAATTTATCTGTTGTTTTTAACGACCCCCACCATATATATCTGGTTGAATAATCTACGGCATCTTTCTTAATCAGTTTTGTAATAACACTAAGAAATTGATCCGTGAATTTGAGAGGATTAAAATAAAAATAAATGGACATAATATGTTAAGATTATTCAATCAATTCGTCGGTTGAGCAACCAATCTGCCACTGGGTGGCATGCTACTAGCGTTTGCCGCCGTCGGGCCGCCGGCGTGTTCGTCTCGGCAGTGTTACCACCGGCGGATCGCTAGAGACCCACCGGTGGCTGTTAACAGAGAACCGCTGGCGTTACCATCGGCGGCCTGCCAGCGGGCCACTAGCGACTTGCATGTAGGGAAGAAAGGGTATTTGACAGCTGCTGGTGCTTGTCTCTTCGTAATGAATAGAGCACTCTGGCAGCTGATAATGATTATATCACGTATATAATGCGTTAAAAAATCCTTTTCGTATCATGCGTCAAATCTAATGTTGAGATTCCATCCCGGCTTGAAGCAATCGCGTGTTTAGTCACACTGAAGAGTTGTGATAGAGCGAAACAGTCCGCCTGTGGATGACATATATATATATATATATATTGAAATATGCATGTATGCTAACTGTGATCTATAGGTCCTATTGAATATTTTAATGAAACCCACTTAAGGTTATCAATTGGATGGTATGAAGATTTTTCCCCATCGATGATAATAACAACAATAGTTATCAAAATAAAACAAAGATATGACACACCTGAAAAGTATTCTGCTTTCACCTGGGTTTTTGCTTTTCTCAGTGATTTCTTTGCCGAAGAGAGTTGCCAGTCGATTATACAGCCTTCCACGTTGATATTAAATTTACGTGATCAGTGGCCAATTCATAAATGTTCGATTTTTAAAAAAAAAAATTCATTTCTAAACGTTAAATTATTAATGAAAGCGATTCCTATGCAAAAAAAAAAAAAGCTTCACATTTGTCAGAATGGAAACAGTCATTTAAAATTTGTGATAGTTGCAGGTACTGAATATCATAAACCTTCAGAACAAAAAGAAACTTTAAAAAAAGCTTAAAATTCACACGAACAATTTTACGTATTTAAAATTTTGAGTACCACACGAAAAAAAAAAAAAAAACCCTGCCATTTTGCGTCAGCCGGTATAGTTCGTAAAGAAACTGTAATACGAAAAAATAGTAAAGAAAACATTGCTTCACTCGTGACGGTCGAAAAAATAATTCACGCGTGTGGGGGTTAAACTACAGCAAATATTTTATGACAGGGTGCTGAAAAAAATGTTCGCTCAACCTACTTTCAATGACCAAACATTAAAATATTGATTTTGGAAAGTGGATCAACCGAGGTGTTTTTCGCACCCATTCGTATGTGATAGAAAAAAATAATATAAATTATCTTGAAAGTTAAAGCTTTCAGTCCGAACTTCAAGATTCACTGGGTGTCTGGCATAAAACGTTGATTAGCTAAGTCGTCTCGCAGACTCACTCAATAATATCATAAGAGCGAGCTTCACTGGGTGTCCCCACTACTGGTGTTTTATGTCAAACTAAGCCATGTAATTCCATTAAGTACTTGTAAACAAAAGATATAAATAATTAAAGCCAGGCCTGTCCTCAGGATGTTCTGAGTCGGGAAGGGACAACTCAACACCGCCATCTCAACACAGCTGCTTGAACACCGCTAACTGAGCGCCGGGAACTTTGGATTGAGACAACGTAAATAAATTGACACATAAAAAAATAATTCAATATTTTAGAATGACGATTTATTTTATAAAAAAATAAATTACATGACGATTTAGTTTATTAAAAATAATTAAAAACAAATAAACTGGTTTATATTTTACATAATTCCCTTTCAAATGCCTTACTTGAAGAAAAACATTCAGTTATAAAAAAAGTTGTTTTGCTGGTTCTGAGTTGTTCCAGCGCTCAGTCGGTGGTCTTTTAGTCGGCGGTGTTGAGTTGTCCTGTGACCTTCTGAATCTTGGGGTGGGGGCGGTCTTTAAGTCATTGTGGCATCGAGTAAGAATTTACCCACAAAAATTTGTTCACACGCATTCTCACAGGATGTTTGTGTGTGTGTGTGGGGGGGATTAATACTCAGTGACGGTTCTGATTACTGTTTTACAGTAGGTGCTCTGATAATTATTTACTAAAGTTATCTTAAACTGACGCAAGGCCATAACTTTGAAACACCCAGTAAAAATCGAATGAACTACACTTGCAAATAGGGTAGGAAACAATACTGCTAATTGTCGATAGATATCACATTATTAGGATCTTGTGCCAAACAAAGATGTGCTGAGTGAAAATCTAGCCAGAGTCCCTGCCGTTGAGCAAAGAATACGAATATCATTAATTTGTTAATGAAGCAACAGGGACGTTTGAGCAAAACGCAATTTTTGATCATTCATGAAATAATCCTGTTTTTCAAACAGATCGATAATTCATTGTCCTGACGTCCTTTATCAACCCAATCAATGCTACTCATAGATTCACTTTGCATAAAAGATTTCTTTTGTTCTGTGCCCCACCCTCTTTGTTTTACATCCCTAGCGAGGACCAAATGTGATCCGTGCTTATTCTGACAGTTTATCGATATTATAAGCCGTGCAATATATTGTAGAGAGCCTGACGCATATTCTCTTTTGCTCACAATCAACGACCACGTGGGACAAATCGAAAAGGATTTTTCTTTCTTTCTTTTCATTTTAATCAAAATAATAACAAGTTGCAGAAGATAAAGTCCACAAATACAAATGAGTAAGTATTTTCAAACAAAGAAGGCTTTCAATCAATGAACGAGCGATTGGAAGTAGAAAGAGGTTAACAGTTAATTTTGTATCGTTTTCAAATGGAAAAAGTAACTCCGAAAAACATACCTCACATATAGGAGTTAAGTTTATTAAGTTTTCGATGTATATTGCCATCATGCACAGAAATATTT